GCTTTAGACCACTGAGCCATCTCTCCAGCCCCAACCAAGACTCATTCTTTAAAAAAAAAAAAAAAAACAAAAAACACCTCTTTCAATTAACAATCTTCCTGTAGCAAATTCCTTTCCAGTTATCTTGCCAAGGTTTCCATATCTTTTCTCTCAAAAAGAGAATTGATTCTTTAGAAGTATCCTGGGTGACTAGTATAAGGCAGATTTATGAGGGTAGGAATTATTTTCTCTACCGCAAGAGGGCACCAATCAGTTAAGTCAGTCTAGACCTGCCATGAAGAAGCAGTGAATACCATAGAAAGCTTTTGAAGTTGTTTCTGCAATTCTTCCAATAAATATGCTTGGAGCCCCTCATGTGTGACAAATATTGGAGAAGCTGGTATGTAGTTCTATAACTTACAGTCTTGAGCATCTACTATGTGCCTGAGAGAGCCTAGGACATGAGAGTGGAGGGACAGGTTCAATTTGCTGTTTTGTGAATTGATTCCTTTCTTGCTCCGGGACATGAGGACCATAACAATATCTACTTTGTGTCACAGTGTGCTGATTGTGAGATACAGGGATGAATAAGACATAGTTGGGGGCCGGGGAGATGGCTCAGTAGAATAAGTGCTTGCCTGGCAAGCCAAGGGCCTGAGTTCAATCCCCGGTTCTGCCTAAAAACATAAATAAAAATAAAAAGACATAGTTGGGACTTACTAATAATGTCTTACTGACTAGGATAAGTAGACATGAGCTAGTTCTGTGGGATGGCAATTACTGAGTACAAAACTCAACTATAGTAAGAGCCTTCCAGCTTAGGGTTATGTTCTTAGGGGATACTTAGGATGAATCTGTGAGTTGGTGTGAGCCCAGGGAACAGTTTCTGGTCTGAGTGGAAGGTGCGTGTTCCAGTCGGTTAGATTAGGGCCCTATCATCCTATACATTAGGGTGGAGCTACGATGAGTTTACATGAATGAAATGCTTTGGATTTTTGTTTGGTTGTTTTTCAGACAGGGTCTTGCTATGTAGTCCAGGGTGGCCTCCAACTCACAGCAATCCTTTTGTCTCCACCTCCTGAGGGCTGGGATTGCAGGTATGTGCCACCATGCCTGGCTCAGACGAATTGCTTTGAACATGATTTTCTGCCTATTTGTCTACTCATAGCTTTGCTATTAAAGGTGTCAACATCATTTCCCACATTTCTAGTTAGCACTTTTCTTGTCCCTAAATTGAGTGAAGGGAAGCCCCAATTAGGCATACATCAGCATTTTGAGGGGAGGGGCTGCAATGATTAAGATGCAGCTCTTCCAGTGTGTTCTGATTTCAAGAATCTAGATAGGAAGTCTAAAAGTGATACTTTAAAGTAGTGCTGAGACCTCATTTAAGGGTGGAAAAAAAAGGGTTTTTTTGTCTTTTTGAGATAGGGTCTTACTGAGCAGTACAGGCTGGCCTTGAGCTCGCTTTCTAGCCCAAGATGGCCTCAAACTCAATGATCCTCTTGCCTCAGTCTCCAAAGGACTGGGATTACAGGTATGCTTGAGGGCACCCAGCTGAGAGATTGCTCATGGATCACTGGATTGTACACAGGTGAGGGCACCCAGCTGAGAGAGATTGCTTATGGATCACTGGATTGAACACAGTGACTTCCTTCCAGTGAGTATACCATAGAAAGGAAGGAGGGCTGGGAAGACAGCTCAGTGGCATAAGTGCCTGACTGGCACGCACAAGGTCCAGAGTTTGATCCCCAGTACCTCAAAAAAAAAAAAAAAAAAAAAAAAAATGAAGATATAGTTCAGTGCAAAGGCCCTGGGTTCTATCCCCAGTGAACCAAAAAAAAAAAAAAAAAAAAAAAAAAG